ATAATGGAACTAATATCATCATATTTAGCGGTAATGGACAAAACAAATTTCAAATACGCAAATGAAACTATAGAAACTGTTAACAAACAAACATACCTAGGAATAGAAATGACATCATCTGGTCGTTACGCCTATGCAAGGGAAATTCTTAGAAAAATGGCTACCAAAATTGTCTTAAACGATTACTCTCAAACATTGATTCTTCAGCGGTCGTGACAAGGAAAGAACTTTTCGATGCCGTTGTTAATTAAACCTGTACTACTTTATGGTTGTGAAATATGGCGACCAGAACTACTATCTTATAAGACACACTTTGATAAAAGTGCAATTAAGCAAGTTCACATTAAATTCTGTAAATGTTCCATGGTACAAAGAAAACAAAGCCTGTAGAGCAGAACTTGGTCGATACCCTCTATAGACATAAAGGCTTCCCTTTTATGTTACTGACAAAGATTAGAACAAAAATCAGACAACCGTCTCTTAAATGAAGCTTTTATTTAGGCAAGAAATCACAGTCAGTTTTATGGCTTATTAAATAGTGACGAAACAATACAAATTTACTAGTTTACTAGTTTCTGTAACTATTCCGTGCTACCGTCTTTAAATAAAGTGTATTATTATTATTATTATTAAATGCACTGCAAAAACGAGTTAATAAAAAATCAGCAATGTGTTAAGAACACTCGTTCTAGCATTAAACAACAGTTGCAGAAAAAAATTTTCTCAAGATTGGTTAAAAGCTCAAAACGACATTCGGATAACTCTAGACAAAAATATACAAACAAGGAAATTAAAAAAGATTATCGCTTAGAAGAATACCTAAAGATAGTTAGAAATCCAGCTTTACGTATACAAACAGGGAAATAAAGAAGCTTCTATACCACTAGAGGAAAGGCTTTGTTTAGTTTGCAAAAGAAACTGCATGGAAGACGAGAAACACTTCTTAATTGATTGTACTGAATACGATAGTCTTAGACAGAAACTTTATTTTCGTATTTCTGAAAAGTATGCAAACTTCATCAATTTAACAGTTCATGATAGAACGCTATAGGTTTGAAGACTCCTTTGAACTTTCCAGTATTTGCAACGATTATATCGATTTAGATCAGTTTGCCTATCGTGAAGGCCATAACTCTACTATTGCATTAATTATAGCCAACATACATGGTTAAAGTGGCTTGATGGTAATGCCGATTTTGTCAGAATTTTTCCTTTGACTTTAGTAAGGCCTTCGACTCTGTATCAGACAATATCCTCTGTAGTAAATTGAAGCAAATTAACATTAATCCATCTATTAATAATTGGCTTATTAGCTTTTTAGATCAGAGAAAGCAGAGAGTTGTGGTCGATGGTTACCGTACTAAATACGTTTCTATAAATAGGGGTGTTGCTCAAGGTACAGTCCTGGGGCAGGTCCTCTTTTCTATTTTTATTAACGATCTCAAAGCTGTTAATACTAATAAGAATCTTTTAGTTTATTTTGCAGAAGACATAACTGTTAGCTTGCCGATTGAGGCAAATGTAGGCTTCGATGAGTCTGAAACGAAAGTCCTATCCTTTATTGAATGGTCCGAGAACAATTGCATGAAGGTTAATTTGACAAAAACATGGGAACTGCTTTTACGAGGGAAGACTACCAGGACGCCTCCTGAATCACTAGAGACCATAGGGAGGAAAGAGAAACTGAAACTTTTGGGCGTTACCTTTGAGCAAGTGCCAGTAAATTGGGACACTCATACTGATTATTTACTTAGTAAGGCTAGCAGTAGGTTGTACATTATGAGAATATGTAAATATTATGGCTACTCTATTGAGAATTTGGCCTTACTTTTTCAAAGTTTGATCCTTTCAGTCTTCACATATGCTATTGAGGTCTGGGGGTGCGCTTTTTATAGGAAATTTTTACGTAGAATTGATAAGCTCTTTGCTAGGTGTTATAGGTTAGGTTACTACTTAAAGCAGCACAGTATCTTGGACATTCGTCGTAATAGAGATATGAAGTTATGGCGAAGGATCTCTTCCACCAACACTGCGTTAAGCGATCTTTTATCTCCCCAGAGAACACGGCAGATGAGAACTAAGTCGCATAATTACATTCTACTTAATGTCCGGACAAGTCGTTTTAAATCAGTTTTTATTAATAGAAGTCTCTTTGATAGTAACGAATATTTTTTTTGGTCGTTTTCCTTCTGTATTTTTTCGCTTTCGTTTATTTATTTTATTACCATGTAAATTGTTGCACGTCTGTTTACGTAATAAATTGTTTATTAAGACCTTTATTATTATCATTATTATTTACTCAGATTAGACAATGACAATACGTCACAAGTTATAGCCAAATATGCCCATCTAATGTTTCAAAAACAAAAAAAGATCCTGAGTCAAAAATCCAATTGATTAGTTAATTAAATTATACTATAATTATTATCGAAATGGTATATGCCGTATAATTTTGTTGTTTCTGTTCATATTTTATATAATTTGTCGTAGTTATGAAAACCTTTTATTGTAAGATATACTATACTACTATACTGTTATCATCATCATTGTTGTCATTGTCAATCATTATCATTATCATTACCATTACATGTACACTGACCAGCTGATCTATTTCTTGTATTCATGTTATTCATGTTTGGGGGCCGGAGTACTATGCAAAAGACATCTCCTCGTCGTCAATTTCCCCCGTATTTGACTCAGCTGGCACCTGATAGTAATCTTTAGTTTCGTCCAACAAGTTAAAATCTAAATATTCCACCTCCTGAAGCATCAGTTGTTCTAATCTTTCAACCAATTCTGGAAAACTCGGTCGCTCATCAGGGTTCTGTTTCCAGCAGTCTTTCATCAAGGAATATCTAGAAAGTATAGGGACAAAAGCAGCCTATTTTTAATCGTCGATGTTGTCTTTTGATATCCCTAAAGAATCCATGAGGCTTTCACATCATAAACGTTTTTTTAAAGTTTATACGTGAAATTACAAATTATCATAAGTTGGGGAAGCTTAGCTGTATTATAAAGCCTCAGTGATTCCTCAGTGGCTTCCTCGCCTTTTTAGTTCGTCATAATTACGTAAAATAATCTTATTTCCCGGCAAATTTAAAGATAAATCGATCCATATCTAAATTATAATAAAGTAAAAGACTTTAAATAGCTATACAGCTATCGGAACAGCTACTTATCTATACAACTCTTCCTTCAATACGGACATCGTTGTGCCGGGCCACCACTAAGTAAGTGTTCGGCGTTTCAGGCAATTCCCTTGAAATTTTTCTACTATCAAACTTTTTTTGAAACTTGGCATAATCAATATTCATGATATGAACATTAAAAAAAAGCAATAAAAAGATGGGGTTTGATATATCCAACACAGAAATTCAAACTTGAAAATAGTACATTAAATATCAAGGAATGAGGTAAGTCAAGATTTGATGAGATTTTGGAGTTGTGAATCTTTATCTTGGACTATGCTATAGCGCCGGCGTTCTGTTTAATTCCAGTGAGCTAGGGTTCGATGTTTTTGCTTTTGCACAATAATGCTTGACAAAGAAACTTGAAGAAAAGAATATTGATTCCTATTCTTCATATGTTCGCTTTACATCAAAGACTGGTCTCCCTCGCGTGGTTCTGCTGCTACGGTGTGTCTTATTTGTTCCAGACATATTCGTCTCTCCACTCTCGGAGTTTGAACAACATATGTACAGTAGAGATCACAGGCCAGATACTGGCTCGTTAATGCAGTTGGAGAGCCGTAGAGCTGTCCCACAGGCTTCACAGCCCCCATAATCCAAAGCCTCAGCCAGGACATTTTAATAACTCCTCAACTCGACGGCCGCGAAGTGAAAAACCACTGCAGATCACGCACATTTCTTTCATTTTCTTGTTTTTCGATAGCAAACCAGGAAGCTGTCAGCCGATCTGCGGCATTATTATTGCTTAGCTCTGCAAAAGCGGCCCTTGTTTGTTCTTTTTCTGCTAGTGGGAAGAACCGCCGCCATCTTGGATGTCGCAATGTTATGCGCAGTAGAGGGTGCGCAGTGCAAAACAAGGGAATTACCTTAAACATGATCATTCAAAGAAAAACAACTTTAGGTGTCCTTTTTATCTGACAGGTAATTTTTGCTGACACACCTAATATTTTTTAAGCGTTTTAAAGACGGATACCTAAACAGATTGATCTTAATCGAAATCTGTTATATAACATTATAAATGTATTGCGTCAAAGACTTTCCCCTCCCTAGCAAGTCATTTCTTATATGTCAAGTGACTGACTTTGGGAATAAACATGCTTTCACTGTCAGCCATCTTGAGTAGCTTATTATCTTACATGGTGTCGGAGAGAACAAGCCATCGAGCTGACATTTCCCCGAAAAAGGACGGGGTCGATCGATTGTGTTTTCGTGTGTAGGGCGTGGAAATTCGACGACAATGGCGAAATACAAGAATGCGGACATGTCGTGGACCATACAAGACTTACACCAAGAATAGCGTCGTTTTTGCCGGAAAGCCTCTTGTATCTTTGATGGTCCGCTGCACGACAAAGAAGACGCAATCAAAGTAAGTTACTTAAAGTTGTGGGTTAGTGACAAAGGATTAGATGTATTCGAAGGATTCGCATTTGCAAAGCCCGAAGTCGCTTTGAAACTGAAGGTAGTACTGCAGACGTTTCAAGAGTACTGCGCGCCTAGAAACAAAGCACATTATGGCTGCCTTGAAATTCAGTGAAAGAAGCCAAGGAGAGAGCGAGGGTTTTGAATCCATTGTGACAGATCTGAAAATTCTAGTCAAAGATTGTGACTATCAAGAAGAGGAGCGTATGGTTAGTGATGCGATCTTTTTCCGCTGCAAGTACACAAAAGTTCGCGAAAAGTGTCTCGATTTGGCCAAAGAATTGACGCTTGAAAAAGCAGTTGAAATTGGTCGAAACCACGAAAAGAATTTAAACAGCCTGAAAAAACTATCGAAGGGTGAACCCAACAGTGAATGCCATAGAAAAGAAGAAACGTCCAAAACAAATGCGTCCACGAATTAAAGGTAAAGAGAAGATGTCGAAGTCCGATACATTCCTGGGAATAAACAAATTGTAGCAGACACCCTAAGAAGAGCAGCTGTGCCAAGTGCTGAAGAGGAAGGATTCGAGGCCTTTCAAGAAATAAACCTGCTCCTATCTGTCTCGGAGGAGCGATATGAAGAATCAATCAAAAAAGAAACCACACTCGATGCTGAGTTGCAGGCAGTTCGTACTTTGGTGACGAATGGGTGGCCAGATACTAAGCGGCAAGTTCCTACCGAAGCAAGACCCTATTGGTCATTTCGAGATAAAGTAGCAACAGCAGATGGGCTTCTCTCTTCAAAGAAACTCGCCTGATAGTCCCAAAAAGCATGAGAGCTGAAATGTTTCGTCGGATTCACAAGTGTCATCTAGGAAAGTCAAGTGCAGACAGAGAGCCCGGGATGTGCTATTTTGGCCTGGAATGTCGGTCAGTGGACATTGAGCAGATGGTGACCAATTATGGTGTGTGCGCAAACTACGCTAACAAGCAGCCCTGAGAGCCTCTGAAACCTACTATTCCACCATCACTTCCTTGGAAGAAGATCGGAACAGATTTATTTGAATTTCGTGGAGAACATTATTTACTCTCTGTGTGCTACCGTAGCAAGTTCCAACAACACCCCAAGATCTTATGTAGTGCAAACTGAAGACGGGAGAAACTACCGCCGTAACAGACAGCATCTACGAGTTTTTCCCGCCCCGGAACAAGAGATAGATCCTGAACCGTCATTAGAGAACAGAGCAAACCTGACTGTTGCCAAGGAAGAGTCTAATCAAGCTGCACCTCCTGCAGTGCTGCCAGATCCACCATCCCAAGAGCAGCATTCCCAGCTTCCCAAAGAGAGCAGTGGAACCCCATATGTGACCCAGAGAGACAGACAAGTAGTAAAGCCCAACAGGCTTGACCTTTAGGGCAGTTCAAGGACTGTGAGAGAAATTTTTTTATAAAGGAGCACTGACAATTACATTTTTTTATTATCATAATTACTAGTTATAGCTATCGCTAAGTGCCAACAAGCAAAGATTTCAGGGGCAGTGGCAACCACAGACAGCTTTTTCGCCCTTATTGGGTCCCACCAGCGTGGCACAGCCGTTGGGTTAATGAACTGGGAAAACCCGTGTCTCAAAAATCCTTACTGTGGAGGTGAGTGCAAAGGAGTCTATCAAGCGCCAGCTCTACAAGACACAAGTGGGAGCTGTTGGCTGGGAACCACACAGCAGTTCCACCACGACATGCGAGGGGAAGGTGGATCACGAATTACCAGTAAATCAAAGCAAGGGGTACACATACACCAACCCACGAGCTCATGCTTTACGTTTAACCCATATATATATATATTCTACATGTATATTTTCATTTTTTTAAATCACGCAAGTTCAACCGTGGAGCATGTGTGGGGGATAATTGTGAATACTAAGAGTTAAAAAACCTTTCGGAAACATCCAAGAAGTAGCAAACTTTTTTATGTATTAAACATCCAGTCTTCAGTCGACACTTATGTTATACCCTAATTACTGAGAAATCCAAGTTATCTAAGAGTTGCTGTAATAATTTTTTTGTGAAGCGTCGCACACTGGCGCACTGCAGCCTGGAGGTACTCCCAATTGACTTCATTGTCACGAGACTTCCATTTGCGATCTCGAAAAAATATTTAACAGTAATTCCTAGAGCCCGAATAGGCTCTGAGTCAATAGCCTATGAGGCCGAAGGCCGACTGGGCTATTGACTCAGAGGCAGATGGAGGCAAGAGCAATAATTGTTTTAGCAAAATCCAACTAGTTGGTCAAAAATATCGAGAATAAAAAAATAATTAGCTAGCAAAACGCGATTCAGCCGCCATAGTTTTGGTTTTCAGAGCCAACGCTTTTCGCTACTGGTGGGCTATAACATATAGCCCAGTAGTAGCTCAACCAATCAGAACGCAGCATTGATAACAGACCTTTAGTTGGATTTTACTAAATCATTATATAGTCCAGTCTACGTATAATATATTTTTTATAATGGAGTTTTCAGTGAACTACCAACAAGAAAGATAAAGGGGATAAAAATCCTTTTTTCCGTCGCTAGTCAACATTTTTTTAAAAAACTTACAGGTCATCAGGGCACAAGTCGGGCTTTTCCATGCGGTATTCTGTCTTTAGACGTCTCATGACATCGATGTTATTTAATAGCGGATACGGCGAACCACCTATAAAGTATAGACGAAAAATTGATTATTCCCGGAATAGTCATTACGCATTGATTAACTCTTCATAATTTTATACCAGATTAAGACTAGAAGTTTTTTCGAAACAAAGAAAAGTAATGAAAATGTGCCAGAAACACTGTTTCCTTAGTTTAGTTTCAGTTTAGTTTATTTTTTCCTCCATTTATTTATTCTACAAGCCATTTGTATTGTATTACAAGATTTGAAGATGAAGATGCTATTTGAAGACTGAATTAAATATCAGGTTACAAGAATAAATGGAGAGGGCAGGATATAGTTAAACTAATTACTTACCCTTTGATTAAATTACAGTTTAATTTAGGTTAAAAGAGAAAAAAGAGAAAAGTATTAACTCTATAAGCCATGAAAATTTTTTAAAAAAGAAGGGTCTTACAGCGGCGTTAAGTCTCGCTTACTTGAAGTAAGGAGGTGATTAATTCTTCACGAAACAGGATTCACTCGCTAAAGAATTGATTTAGAACGCGTGTTAGCGACGACCGGAAATACCTCTGCGGTCACAGGCTGTACGCGTGTATAAATAAACGAAAATACAACAGCCTCGATTCCAGAAAAATTACATCATTGCCAGAGATCACAAAAGTGATTTACATGGCACATCATTTCAATCATCGCCGAAAATTAAATAAACCGCATGCTCATCACAAGACCCATTTGCATACAATGAAAGTTTACAACACCCGACCATCCCGGTTTTGCTAATTTTAAGAAGATTATTCCTTTTTTTTTCGACCACTGTAGTGTGTACTAGTTCCAAAATAATTGACGCTTTCAAGCGATAGAATTCATAGACCGACCTCTTGTAGAAAAGCTCTAAATTTAATCTTTCTTAATTTTTCGTCGCAAAACATGCGTGGCTTCGGTCAAGCAATGATTCTTAGTCCCAGTTTCCACGGTCTGCACTAGGAACACCTGGGAACACAACCGCCTTTTTGTGTACTAAATACAAAGAAAAAAGGGCTTGCAGATTATGAGTCTTGCTGCTAATGCAAGCGAGACTAATAACAGAGTTCGAGCAGTTTAGTTCCTAAACTGCACTCGGGATTCAGGAGCCCCCTACTACACTGTAATCTGGTTTCTAAACTATTTGCATAAATCGAAGTTATCAGTACAATGCAAGATGGTGGTCATTTTTGTAACAATGACGCCCGGATGGCCGTGTAATAAATCAGATTTAACTTTAAAAGGAACTACACTTTATTCGGCCGCCATGACACCCGGAAAGCATGGCCCACATAAATATCCATGATCCTTTGCACGTTTACAGTAACCGAGAACTTCCGCTAACACAACTTCCGATAGACAATAATATCGATACATTACATCCCTTCCTTTCTTTAGAAACAAACAGACTACGAGAAAAAGTCAATAAGGCACTTAACAGCGAAAAATAAATCTGTATGAAAACTGATCTGCTCGCATTGAGTTATCTCAATAAGACTGTTCAATAAAATCTAATAACATGAAATCAAATCTAACAGATTTCAACATAAGTCCAACGTGTCAACAGAGTTCAGTTCATAAAGTACATAGTCCTTGTACTTCTCCGGCATTCTGACAGTCCGCCTTGGTCTTGATGTCGCTATACTCTCCTCCGGTGGAAGAGTATTGGGTGCTTCTTGAGAAGCGGCCTCTGTGGCTTCTGGGGATTCCCCTGGTGGGTTGTACCGCTTAACAAATGAACTGTTCCGCCTGTATTCCACACCCTCCTTTGACCTAACAGTCACCTCACTGCCTTCCTTAGTCTGCACTGTGTATGGCTCACTCTCGAAATTTGCTTCTAGCTTGCCAGACGTTTTCGTGTTCTTCAGTAAAACCAGATCTCCAGGCACTACAGGGCTTTCGGCTGCACCCCGCTTGTTGTCAGCATGTTCCTTGTGGGCGAACTTGTGATTCCAGTCACGATCTCTGACCCCCTCGTCCAACAGGTTACCAGCGCGCCTCAACTCTGGAAGTTTGGTTTTCAACTCTCTGCCAAACATAAGGAAAGCAGGAGTAACACCAGTGCTTGTTTGCGGTGTGGTTCTATATGCTAGCAGAAACTTCTGCAGTTCTTCACGCCAGTTTTTGCCCTCGACGTGAGCAACTTTCAAAGTCTTAAGCAGAGTTCTGTTCTGTCTCTCAACATGTCCATTGGCCTGCGGCCACAGCGGTGGGGAAGTTAAGTGTTCGATTCCGTGATCAGAGAGAAACTTCTCAAACTCCGCAGAGCAAAACTGAGGACCATTGTCAGACTTGAGTGTAAATGGAAATCCATATCTGGAGAATATCTGTGTCAGTACATCCACCACTCTCTTAGCTGCTGTTGAGCACATGATCGCTACCTCGTAGAATCTACTGTAATAGTCTACGACTACGAGCAAACTTTCTCCAGTGGGAAGGGGGCCCATCAGGTCTATGGCTATGTCTTGCCAGGGTCCAGTAGGCGGCTTCACTCTCTTCATGGGCTCAGGAACCTGGAATTCACCTACGACTTGGCAACCATGACAAGACTTACACACCTGCTCTGCGTCTGAGTCAATCTTTGGCCACCAAACCTTTGTCCTTAAACGTGCCTTCATTTTTACGATGCCCTGATGTCCCTCGTGGGCAAGACGCAAGACTTCTCCCCGTAAAGCCTTCGGAACAACAATTCTCGTACCTCGCAAAACAAGTTTGCCTAACACACACAATTCATCCTTGACACACACATAAGCTGTCATCCTACATTGAGACCAGTCCCCACTTAAAATGTACTGTCTCAGGCTAGCAATTTCTGGGTCACTATCAGAAACCAATTCGACTTGTTTCGCTGTCAGGGCAACAGGTAAGCTTTCCTCAGCGACTGCCTTGACAAAGTCAAATTCCTCCCCACTTGTGTCTTTAGGGTTACATTGATTGAGTCTTGAGAGAGAGTCTGCGATATTCGCTTTGCCAGGCCGATAAACAACTCTGTAGTCATACCCCTGCAACCTCAGAACCCAACGTTCGATACGTGCTGATGGTTTTGAAAGCCTGCCAAAAATACACTCGAGTGGCTTGTGATCAGTTTCAAGTTCAAATTTGCGCCCGTATACATAAATGTTGAACCTCTCACAAGCCCATACTAGGGCAAGGGCCTCTTTCTCGGTCTGGCTGTATCTCCGCTCCACTTCAGTGAGGTTTCTGGACGCGTACGAGATTGCTCGCCACTCGCCGTCTTGAAGTTGAGTCAGCACTGCACCTAAACCCTGTGGACCTGCATCGGCAATAATACGTGTGTTACAGTCTCCTCTGAAATATGCAAGCGTAGTGGCCTGTGCAACTAGCTGTTTCAACTTCTGGAATGACCTTTCCTGTGCTTCACCCCAGATGAAAGGCTCATTCTTCCTCAGGAGGCTCCTGAGTGGTTCTGCTTCTTGCGCGAAGTTGGGAAGAAACTTTGCAGAATACTGTACAAGCTGAACAAATGATCTGACCTGTGAAGCATCTTGTGGAGGGCTTGCGTTCAAGATGGCAGCTACTTTCTCTTCACTGGGCGCAACACCTTGTCTGCTCAGATCATGACCGAAGAATGTAAGCTTGGGAAGACGAAACTGGCATTTGTCCCCATTCAAGGTTAGTCCTTTCTCTTTCAATCGGGTCAGTACAGCATGCAAATTCCTGTCGTGTTCCTTTATGCCACAACCATGCACAATCAAATCATCTGCCAAATTAGCCACTCCCTCGCAACCATGCAAAACATCCGCCACAATTTTCTGGTACTTTTCAGGCGCCGATGTTACCCCGAACATCAAACGTTTGTACCTGTACAAACCACGGTGTGTAACAAACGTCGTGATCTCGCGCGATTTTTCATCCAATTCCACCTGGTGGAAGCCCCACTTGAGATCGAGCTTTGAGAAGACAGTTGAGCCATTAAGGTCGTACAATACTTCCTCAATTGTAGGGATTGGGTGTCTTTCCCTCTCTATTGCTGAATTCGCCCTGCGCATGTCCACGCAAATCCGAATGTCACCGTCTGTCTTCGGGACAACAACCAACGGCGACACCCACTCAGTTGGGTTGTGTGACACCTCCTCGATGATGTCTTTGGCTAACAACTCATCCAACTTCTCGTCAACCTTGGCTCTTAACCCAAATGGCAGTCTCCGTACGGGTTGTGCAACCGGCGTGACATCGTCTCTTACATGTAATTTCAGCTGAAAATCCTTCAGCTTTCCAACCCCCGTAAAAACCTCTCTATACTTCTCACGGATGTCCGCATCACTTCCTTCAACAGTTAATGAACACACATCTGGACCGACCCTTAACACGCCCAACTTCTCTGCAGTGTTCTTTCCCAGTAGAGATCTTCCTGGACCTTTAACCACTGTGAATTCGTCCACACAACTGTTGCCACTGATCTCGCACACAATCTCAGACACAAATGTCCCAATCACCTCAATAGGATCTTTCTGTCCATAAGCAAACAACTTTTTGCTTGATTTCTTGGACTCACACTGAACACTCTTCTTCTTCAAAACTTCCCAGGTTGCTTGATCAATCACATTGCACGACGCTCCAGAATCAATAAGTACCCCTGGTAACGTCACTCCTCCAACCTTCAAATCAACTTCACTACCACTTGTAGGCTGACTGACTCCAACTGTAAATGCATAATAATCTTGTTGTCCAGTGGCTGAATCCTCTGATAGTTGATAGGCTCTACCCCGTGTATTATTCCTTCCCTCGTCATCCCTTGTAAGACGTTTGCGTTCCTTTGTTTTGCAACAGACTGCAAAATGTCCAATCTCGCCACATGCATTACATTTCTTGCTACGGGCAGGACAATTCGGGTCACGTGCCATATGGTCAGTGTAATTACAGCGAAAACAGCCTCTTACTTTTGTCTCCTGAGAACCACCCGACGGTTTACCAGACTTATTTCCTCTGTTTCTACCCTGCGCTGTCCCTTTTCCTTTTCCTTTGCTGTGAGGTTTGCCGGAAACAGCATTCACCTGACCGGATGACTGATCCATAGCCTTGACCTGCATGTTCACTGCTTCCTGCACACGAGCCAAATCTTGTAAATCCTTCAGAGTAGCATTTGTTTTCTCCAGGAACTTACGGCGAAGTCTGGGGTCCCTGCATCTCTCAATAAGCTGATCCCTTATTGCCTCATCAACATTTTCAAACTCGCAGAAGATCGCTTTCTGCCTCAACCGACAAACAAACTGATCCACCGACTCTCCTGACGCTTGCTCCATTTGCCTAAACTGATGCCTTTCGAATGGAACGTTTAACTGCGGTGCAAAATAGTTATCCAACAACTCCATACTCTCTGCGAACGGCTTGATTTCCGTACCGGTCAATAACGTGTAATAAAGCTCCTGAAAATTCAACCCTCCAGTATGCAACAGCAATGCGGTTTTCTGTTCATCTTTCGTAATCCCTTTTGCCACCAAATACAGATTGAACGAGCGTTTCCACAACTTCCAGCGAACTGCAAGGGTGTTCGGATCTTCCTTTGGATTGAAGGGAGGAAGGCTGGCCACATCAAGTAGAGGAACAAACGTCGCGGTTGGCGAAGCTTGTGAACTTGAAGCTGTACTCGAAGTGGTTCCACTGTCGTCCGTCATCTTCCTGACAAAATACGAGGACTTTCCGCACAAATGACTTCCAAAACATCCACTACCTCACAAAACGAATTGAATCCTCGTCGCCAATGTAACAATGACGCCCGGATGGCCGTGTAATAAATCAGATTTAACTTTAAAAGGAACTACACTTCATTCGGCCGCCATGACACCCGGAAAGCATGGCCCACATAAATATCCATGATCCTTTGCACGTTTACAGTAACCGAGAACTTCCGCTAACACAACTTCCGGTAGACAATAAAATCGATACATTACAATTTTGAATAACGTACGAGTTGCCAGGATCTTTATAGCCAACGTTTTCTATAATATCTTGAGGAGCTCACGATGGACTACTTTGTAAACGCTTAATCAGTAGCAAAACATGGTAAAGGTAGCAAAACATTCAAGCGGGCTTCAACCTCTCTTGACTTTTTTTTTCCCTAGTGGGTGTATGGATTTGCTAAAAAGAACCTGTCATTTTGTAACATTACCAAGGGTTGCTATTTCCCACATGACAACTCCAAACGACCAACTGTGAAAAAAAAGTAATATAATGGTTATCTCAAGTTTTTGATATTTAGCATTTAATTAGTGAATTTATCAGATTTGTTTTCAAACTATATTTTATCAAAACGAAAAGAAAAAAACAGCACTCAAAAGAAAAAACAACAACAGCAACTTAATGCAAGAATCACAAAACATATGAGCGCACTATCATCGATGTCAAGATCCTGCACGTTAACATCTGGCCCCAGTTGTTCAAAAGTTGGATTTGAAACGCTATCCACCGGATAAATCACTTTCCGATGGATAAGTGTTAGGGAAACCAATTGCGCTATCCAGTGGATAGTGATTTATCCGTGTGCATGGATTTTGTAACTCTTCATAAAGTTATTCAATTTCAGAGACACGAAACCCTCTGCAGAAAAGAAAATGAAATTCACAGAGCATCACTGAAAACCACTGTTGGATAAATCAGGGGGGGAGTGTGAATCCATAACTGATCATTGTCTGGTTAGAGAAATCCTTGTTTTATTTGTCTAGTATGTTTGTCCGTTTGTTTCACTTATGTCCAGAAATGCATGCAATGGCGAAAATGGCAAAAGTGGCGAAAAATTGCCAGCCTCTGGCGATTTGAATTGGATGCCAAAAGAGGCCCCTTGGAGACTGGCGATTTTGGCAAAATTAGTGGTTTTGGCGAAAATCGCCAGAGGGCTGGCGATAATGGCGATAAACGTCCCGACCCCTAGGAGACTGGCGATTTTGGCGAAAATCGCCAAGGGGTTGGCGATATCCAGAATGTGGCAAATATTCAAATTGGATGCCAAAAGTGGCCCCTTCAAATTAAATAACTAAAGACGTCCCTATAACTGTGAGGCAACATTACTAAAAAAAAAGTTCAAATTACATGCCTAATAAGAGGCCCCAATAGCTGTGAGGCAACATTTATCAAATACAACTGAATCAGATATATCACAAACGGCTTTATTTAACTGTGAAGTAATATTTATCAAATACAACTGAATCAAATATATCTGAAAACAACGAATGGAAGTCGTTTCCCTTAAGCTTATGTATTTGTGCCATGTACTTCACAGGTTAAGTAAACATTTTCTTACTTTCGATCTCGCTTGACTTACCAAGGCGGTAATGGGATGCGCTGAAATATCAAACTAGCATCATTTGCTTTTTTACGGTTTATTCCTTTCAAAGTCTTACAAAAGAGAGAGAGTATGCGTTCAAGCCAACCAAACCAAATTTCATGACCCACAGCTGATCCACCAATTACTCGAGGAGACAATCACCAAGTCCTTGAAATGATAATAATTCCTTACCATGGACACTCTAACTTTTGAGGTTCGATGTAGACCTAAACAATCCTCATTGGTGTCAATTCTCTTATCATCAGTTCCATTAACTTTTGAGGCAGCTTAAATCAAAACCGACTGCGAAACGCACGGTTCCTGGCGTTTCGCAGTCGATTGTTTAGGTCGACATCGAACCTCAAAAGTTAGAGTGTCCATGGTAAGGAATTAGTCAGTAGCATTTCAAGGACTTGGTGGGCCTCTCCTCGAGTAATTAGTGGACTAGCTGTGGGTCATGAAATTTGGTGTGGTTGGCTTGAACGAACATTCTCTCCCTTTTGTAAATACGCCATTTTCGCCAAAATCGCCACTTTCCAAAGGTCCCCTTTGCCATCTCATTTGAATTTTTGTTTACAATTTGGCGATTTTGGCGTTTAATCGCCATTTCTGCCATTTTCGCCAAAATCGCCACTTTCCAAAGGGCCNATTGCCAGCCTCTGGCGATTTGAATTGGATGCCAAAAGAGGCCCCTTGGAGACTGGCGATTTTGGCAAAATTAGTGGTTTTGGCGAAAATCGCCAGAGGGCTGGCGATAATGGCGATAAACGTCCCGACCCCTAGGAGACTGGCGATTTTGGCGAAAATCGCCAAGGGGTTGGCGATATCCAGAATGTGGCAAATATTCAAATTGGATGCCAAAAGTGGCCCCTTCAAATTAAATAACTAAAGACGTCCCTATAACTGTGAGGCAACATTACTAAAAAAAAAGTTCAAATTACATGCCTAATAAGAGGCCCCAATAGCTGTGAGGCAACATTTATCAAATACAACTGAATCAGATATATCACAAACGGCTTTATTTAACTGTGAAGTAATATTTATCAAATACAACTGAATCAAATATATCTGAAAACAACGAATGGAAGTCGTTTCCCTTAAGCTTATGTATTTGTGCCATGTACTTCACAGGTTAAGTAAACATTTTCTTACTTTCGATCTCGCTTGACTTACCAAGGCGGTAATGGGATGCGCTGAAATATCAAACTAGCATCATTTGCTTTTTTACGGTTTATTCCTTTCAAAGTCTTACAAAAGAGAGAGAGTATGCGTTCAAGCCAACCAAACCAAATTTCATGACCCACAGCTAATCCACCAATTACTCGAGGAGACAATCACCAAGTCCTTGAAATGATAATAATTCCTTACCATGGACACTCTAACTTTTGAGGTTCGATGTAGACCTAAACAATCCTCATTGGTGTCAATTCTCTTATCATCAGTTCCATTAACTTTTGAGGCAGCTTAAATCAAAACCGACTGCGAAACGCACGGTTCCTGGCGTTTCGCAGTCGATTGTTTAGGTCTACATCGAACCTCAAAAGTTAGAGTGTCCATGGTAAGGAATTAGTCAGTAGCATTTCAAGGACTTGGTGGGCCTCTCCTCGAGTAATTAGTGGACTAGCTGTGGGTCATGAAATTTGGTGTGGTTGGCTTGAACGAACATTCTCTCCCTTTTGTAAATACGCCATTTTCGCCAAAATCGCCACTTTCCAAAGGTCCCCTTTGCCATCTCATTTGAATTTTTGTTTACAATTTGGCGATTTTGGCGTTTAATCGCCATTTCTGCCATTTTCGCCAAAATCGCCACTTTCCAAAGGGCCACTTTGCCAACTCATTTGAATTTTTGTTTACAGTTTGGCGATTTTGGCGACTGTCGCCATTTCTGCCATTTTTGCCAACTACGCCATTTTCGCCAAAATCGCCACTTTCCAAAGGGCCCCTTTGCCATCTCATTTGAATTTTTGTTCACAGTTTGGCGATTTTGGCGATTAATCGCCATTTCTGCCGTTTTCGCCAATGCGTGCATTTCTGGACATATCTCATTACACGGCTTCGGCCAAAATTTTGAACGGACGAATTTTTACCTGTGCAACCAGTTTATACAAACCACAAGTCGTGGTACTCTTTTCTGTTCAAAGACGTGCACGTATCCGCCGGTCCTGGCCGGTTCCGGGTAAAGGAGAGGCGGATCCGTGCAAGAGTTTGTCCGTTCCAGGATTCTATCTAGGGTATTTGAGGGTTAGAAGCTTCCTCCGGGCCCCAAAATGCCCAACTTCCCCACTCCGTCCCCCCCCCAAAAAAAATATTGTTGTTATTACAGTATATAAGTAACTATATCGGAAAAATCATCCAGACGCGACGAGGTCAGTACACATGAAGTAAGTAATCATTGTCTGAGGACACAATTGGGTCTCAAAATACACCAGATTGCATCTCAGTGCATATTCTTTTAAAAAGAGGAAGCTCGTGGCCTTCGGCCACTCGCGACTTCTCCCCCAAACGAAAAATCCTATATAGAACCGTGTGTTCTAAAATTTGTCCGGACCCGTGTAAATGGGGTCTTGCGGCTACTTAAGGTTAAAAGCCAGCTTCACACTTGATATCAGTGCAGTATTTTGGCTTTTTTCTTACCATACCCAGTTATCCGTTTACATTCAAAATATGAAGAAAAGCGTGAAAATAATGAAAAAAGTGGAAGAACGGAACACGACAGGTCTGTTTCTTCACTAGGGTTAGCCTTGATCTTACTGATCTAATCTCTGCTCTGTAGTGTGTGGACTACGTTATACTGTTTACTTACACATCACTCTTGCAACTGAAAATTTGTTCATACAGTGATTCTGGTGCCATCCATTTGATCGGCAGTCTCTTTTGCCTTTTCACTTCGTACATCCCATGATGTAATTCCCGCATCAAACCAAAGTCAGCAATCTTAAGCTTTTTACCGTGTGCCACAAGGATGTTTCGCGCGGCTAGATCTCTGTGAACAAGGCCTTTTTCTGCGAGGTAGCTCTGAAAATTGCAAATAATTAACTTAAAGGATAATCCGATGCCAGTTTAATCTACCGTAGTAAAAATGCCCATATTTAATTTACTGGACTTTATCCGGCAGCTGGAGCTTCTTAAGATAATGATTTCGGGACTAAGGATTTCTTGTAAGCAAGAACTTCTGAGGTTTGTTTTGTAACTACCACTTAAACCAAAAGTATTTAAATTCTTCTATACAATATCAAGCCTTCATTTTCAGGCTTTAAGACCTTTCGAAGGCGGCATTACTGGCTCGCATACAGTGATTAAGACGTGCCTTAATACGGTCTTCCTAGCCTGAGAAATTCGCGAAGCCACCACCGGTTTTCCCGCGAAATAACCTCTGAAAAACGAGCGCAGAAATTCCATACTGATGACGCGTCACTTCCCAGATCTGAATAGTGCTTCTGATTGGTTATAGCAAATTTCCCACGCGGCACGACCTATCAGAGGCACTACCAAGATCTGGAAATTTCTGCGCTCGTTTCTCAGGTGTCATTTTTTGGGGAAACCAAGGATGGTGGCGTCGCCAAATGTCAGCTATTAGGGAGCTTTAGCAACGACGACGGCGACGGCAACCAAAACGTCAAAAAAGCAATAGGTTTATTACGCAAAACAACAACTTTGCACGTGCATCACGCTTTTTTGTAAAAAAACATTCACCGTCCTTGCACGACTACGCCGTGAAAATGCCTAATTGCAAGTTTTATGGAGGACGTAAACAAGCGACGACGTATCTCTTTTTCTCTCTCTAAACTTGAGTGCGGTCCTCAAGAAATCAACTCCAGGGAAATTCGCCTACACTTGCCTTTTTTCAGCAAATTGGAATAAACGCGACAAAGAATGAAAAAACGGGAACTCAGTCATTTTAAAACTGACGTTTTCGCTGCCGTTGCCGTCGTCGATGCTAAAGCTCCCTATTTTCTCAGGCTAGGGTCTTCCCAGTGATTCCTAAATTCAGTTTTTTATGAAGTTCCTTCTAGCGTCAACAACCTGCATTTATTTACATCTCATTTTTACTTCTGTAAAAACATAAACAGGTTAAAACCGTTCAAAATCTTTCCCAGGAACATTTCCTAGTCGTCGTGACGTATATGTCAACATTGACGTCGCCATGGTATCCGAGTTTTAGCTGAGTTTTAACAGCCTATATATTTCAAAACTTTGCATTATTTCTGTGAAAAAAGGTTTTTCTTGTCTATCTTTACTTGATTAAAGCTGTTTATGTAGTCTAGGTTATTTAGTTACTAAATGAGAAAAATTCAGAATGAGCAAATGGCAGACGATGAGTTCAATTTTCAACAGTACTGGTGTTTATTTCTCTTCAAGAATTTCATAACTTGCAGATTTTTTTGCATCCTTCAGTCTATCACAATTACTTCCATTTATTTAAGCAAGAGACCACATTTTCCATGGGTTTGTCGGCGTGATAACCCACGCGGGATGTTGGGAAAACACGAGAAAAGCGTGTAAATCACGAGCCGAAGGCGAGTGATTTAAAAGCTTTTGGAGTGTTCTCCCAACATCCCAAATGGGTTATCACGCCGGTAAACCCATAGAAAGTGTGGTCTATTGCTTTTATAAAATAACTTTAAGTTTTCTATGAGTTTACCGGCACATTAAACTATAGGTTTTTAACCAATCAGAACGCGCGCACTATCTTAGTTAATTATAAATTTGTTTTAGGTAAATTGATATACATTTGATTTATTCAAAATGGCAGGTCCAAGATGGCAGATGGTTCCAGTTCTTTCTTTAATAATAAACAACGTCATAATAAGTGTTAGTTAACATCTTGATTTTATCGGACACATATTTAAGTCTTTATGTCTACTTTGAGAGGAGAAAATTGATGAAATTTGGATTCCGCCAATAAATTCAACAATATGGCATCATAATGACGTGACATTACGTCATTATGTCAATCGTTCAGGCGATGAATACGTTATTATGTGCAATTTTGGTGGCCGTACCATGAACGATTTTGGAGCAGAAAGCAACAAAAGAAATAAAAACGGTCTGAATAGGGTTAAAATGTTCTATAAAATCGAAAATGGCGTTGACACGAACCTGGTTGACTGTTTTTGAATAAACACTCAGATCGTTTTAGTCAGTTGCATGTTCAAACAATTAAGCAGGATAATGTTAACATACAGTTTTTAACCGTGCCAAATACCAAGAAGAGAGTTTAGAGACACAAGGAGAAACTTTGTTTTTAAGACCAACTTTTTCTGTTCATGAACTTGCTATCGGTGAGTTTCTGAGGTCTTTCTCATTCAGTTTCGACTTGCATTTACCGAATTAACGACAGAACATTCCTTACCATTCCACGGGCAACCTGCCGGGCAAATGACATGAGATCAAATGGAATGAACGATTCGCAGTCGTAGTCACATTCGTCCTCAGTGTTTTCTGCCAACTCATCCAACTGGACGAAAAGAAAATGGATTTGCACAAATTTGCTCTTGGCAAATATTTTGCAATAATGTGAAAGCGGAAGGGTAAATCTGAGGCAAAGATGACAAATGCCACATTTGTCCCTTATATACCACCCGGTGTAGATTCGTATGCAAATGTGCTATTTACCATCTTTGCCCCAGATGTACTCCTCACTTTGCTATTTTTGCGACGTATCTCAGCCAAGAGCAAATTGATCCTTTACATCAGTTAATGTGGAAAATACAATAATGGGTATTGTACATTCTTCATCGTCATCGGTATCATTTTTTTCTTTGTATAACTTATAAAGAGCTGACTTAGAAGGCCCTGACCTCTCACAAAACCCGACTGTCTTCCACTCTTCTTTTCCTATGCCACACCATACTAAAGTCAAGAGCAAGATCAAGGTCACTGCTATAATTTAAAACTGTAAGTCACCATAAATCTTAGTCCGGAGAAATAGGGAAATAAATCAACGACGCAGAGAAGTAATTTGATTTGAAGAAAATAAATACAGCCACAGGAAACAGACCCTCGCCCGAGAAAGTCCAGATGACTCGGCGAATACCTAATCGGGCGGGAAAATTGTTTGTATTTTCTTCTTACCCTGCGAACGTGCGTGGTAGCTCTGTCGAATCTACAAGCCCTGATAAAAGCAGTTGGGTAGGTTGTTCAGGTTTAAAGCAGTTCATTCTAATCCTCAAGAAAGATGGTTTTCCTTTCAACCAAATTTTCTTCGTCCCCCCCTTTCCCCCTATGCAATGTTGGGATATAACACTACAATTAGGCGCATAAACACTTAAGTTTTGTTTAACATTGGGCGAGGGGCGGGGGGGTAGAAAGTAGAAGCCTTTCTTTCTTTTTTGACGATGATCCTAGAGCTTTAGCTATTTACGGTAGTCACATAAACTTGTCATGACGCATGAAGAGACCATTCTGAAAGTAAACCCACAGTGAAGCATAATTTTGTTTCTTTGGGAAGCAGCATCCATAGAGTTTTTCGTAGTGGTTATTGGGACAGGGTGTTTTTCTTATTGTGTTAGTTTGCCCAAGTAGCTCCATACCAGATGAACAGTGACACTCTGTTTCCTTGTTCCGGCATACAATTCTTCGCTCTTCAAACTGGCCTCTGCGTTTCTCAGGGTCGAACTGCTTATCTGTGAAGGTAATTACGACAGCAGCCAGAAAATAGATAAGTTGCCTATGCCGTCCATTTTATCAAAATGGATTTCAGTTTAAATACTTTCTAAATGTTGCTTAAACATTATACGTTATTACTGCATCTTACAGTCAAACCCCGCTGACGGACACTGAGGGAGCATAGAAAGTGTTCGTATTAAGCGGGTTGAATTTAGAGAAAATGTAAGGGGTTTCTTCTCCCAGGTACCAAGCAAGCTGTCTGTTATAATGAGGTGTCCATATTAACGGGTGTGTGTAAAGCGGGATTTAACTGTACATTCATGAACGTGGCAGCACGACATAAGTACTGAGTACCGGCTCGATTTAAAGCTGCTGTAGCGTCTCTTTCCATTAAGGCCGATACACACGAGGGGTTTTGCTCCCGGAGCATGCTCCAGGGGCACGCTCCGGGAGCAAAGCTCCACCGTGTGTACCAACGATTTCATGGGTATACTTTATCCTCGGGAGCAGAATTTCCAACCCGCAAAATGCTCCACGATATTTAACCAGTTGAATATTTGGGAGCAAGCTCCCGGGGCAAATTGAACGAACTTGAAAACGCTCCCACGTGTGTACTGACACTTTTTGTTGCACGCGGATTAATACGCCAAATGTAAAACATTAACCAATCAAATAAGCCAATATTTTCGTCCACAATTCCTTTAGAACCCTTGACTCGAGCTCAAAATTCAACATGGCGTCGACCGAAAGTATAAAAGTGGATGAGCTCGAATTTTGCGTATGGCATTCTCATGTATTCACAAAAACCGTCTAAAAATCAAACCAGAATTCAAGCAGGAAAATGTGGGCGTTTGGTGAAAAAAGTCGTCGTTAAAATGGTCAATAGCTTATTTTATTTTATTTTTTATCTGAAATACCTGACTTCTTTTCCGGCGAAGCCAACGAAGCAAGTCTCCATGAGCAACATACTCCATGATCAAAAGAAATGGTTTCGTTGTCGTCCAACAGCCCAGGAAACTCAGCACGTTCTGATGTTTCCCCACCTCTTTCATGAGTTCTATTTCATCCAGGAATTGCCTTTTTTCCTCTTCGCTTGTACCGTCTTTAACAGAAAGCAGATCGTTGATTACTATTATTGGTGGGTTATTTTGATTACGTGACACTTAAGACAATTTACCGCCTTCCTCGGAAGAAATGCCTTATCCTAACCCTTGAAAGCATTCATTCCACGTGAAACCTCCTAATGCGAAGTTTTAAGGAGGACGTTAACATACGCCGACGAATTTTCTTTTCCCTTTTGGAACCAGGAAAAAATCTTAAGAATTCAACTCCAATTTTAGTTTAATGTGCACGGCTCTTTAGAAGACCACTTTTTAGTGATAAGGATTCCTTGGTTAAATAAAGTTATTACTTACTTACTTACTCCAGTAAAATTCGCCAACATTTGACAAATCAGTGGGCGGGTTCAAATAGACGCGATAAAGTTTGAAAGTGGGTAAATTAATTTTCTAAGGGACGTTGCTGTCAGCTTTGAAGCCAAACCTAAATCAGCTAAGGTATTTCCCAAACAACACAGCACAATGTTGTGATATGAAGACCAGCAGTAAGCGATCGAAATGTCGCGGTTAATAACAAAGCGACTCTCGTGAGACGATTGATAAATGAACGTCATAATATCATTTTATGTGCACAAGAAGTTCCCTCTTACCACGCAATTGTTTTATGGCAACAGTCATTTCGCTTCTGCTTGTTTTCTCCAAATCAAAGTACTTTAAACCGTCTTTCAATTTAGCTTTTTGGACTTTTGAAAACGCTCCCTGTCCCAAATTTTCGATAAATTCTGTTCTCGTTGGAGAAATTTCACAATGATCCAATACTTGAATATCTTTTGCGGTTCTGAAAAGAGTGGTGAACAAAATAAAATATTATAAATGAATTAAGAAGTTTAATCCCCATATTCCCGCATTAAAAATGAATTACTATGCCGACCGCGGTTTACAATATGTAGAAAA